TCACAACATCCATAGCCAAGAGAAAAAATTCTCCTGGGACGGGACTCGAACCCGCACAGCGCACGTCGACTGAACTTTGGACCTAGTGAAAATTTCAGATATACTCAAGTCAGCCCACATTAAAGGTGAATACTACATCAAAGACTCTTTTGATTTATCCCGACAGTTTAACAGGTTGCAAATACCACCGGAACATGTGATCGCAAGTCTAGACGTGGTATCACTATTCAGTAACGTGTACTTAGAAGCTTGTATCAGATCCATGCACAAACATTGGGATATAATATGTCAGCACTGTAGTCTAACTCTGGAATCATTGGTCACCATCTTAGGATATCTTTTTAACAACAATTATTTCACTTTTAACAATAATACCTATTCACAAACACATGGTTGCCCAATGGGATCAGTGTTATCGCCAATTTTAGCAGACTATGTAATGGATGACCTGCTTGATATTGTCATTCAGGTACTGCCTTAAAACCTTTTCTTCATCAAAAAATACGTAGATGACATAATCGTTTGCCTACCGTTTGAAGGTTTGGATGATATTGTAGATGATTTAACAGCTATGACCCCTACATCCAATTCACCATAGAAAAAGAAGATGATAATCAATCTGTTCCTTTCCTGGACTCAAAAATCATCCGAAATAACAATATCTTAATGGTAGACTATTACATGAAGCCTATGGCATCAGGCAGATTCCTGAATTTCAGATCCTACCACAAACTTAATATAAAGATACATCTGGTGAAACAAATGAAAACAAGGATCACTAGCATTTCTGACAGTACCTTCCATCTTTCAAACTTACGCAAACTCTCAACACTTTTCACGAATAATGGTTATCCGAAATACCTGACAAACAGAATCTTGTTCAGCTCTCCCGCTGCTATACCATTGTCACATAACAATGATAACAACAATCCCAATAACAATGACAATCCTCCTAATGATACAGACATTCCATCAATTTCCAGAACTAGTTTCGTAGTGCTACTATACATTAAAGATAGACTTTCTAGATTATGCAACACTTTAAATTGCCGTATTACTTACAAATCCTCACTCACAGTCAACAATGTCTTCTCCAAAATGAAAGATAAAGTTCCTCTGCTTGGCCTATCCAACATTGTCTACTCCATCAATTGTAATAACTGCAATCTCACATACATAGGTCAAACCTCAAGATCCCTTAAAGGTAGAATAACCTCACATAAAAGTGATGCCAGACTGCATCCAGAAAGATGAGATCTAGCTTCACACATGAATTCCACAGGGCATCAAATGGGATACAATGATATCAAGGTGCTAGACAGAGAAAAACATCTATCAAAACGCCTGTTTTCGGAAATGTCACATATCTTTATGACAGACAACTGCATGAACAAACAAGCGAATGTCAATCAACTTAGCGTCGTCTACACATATTTGCTGAACTGCGAAAAATTGGAAAAGCAACACATCTCTCCCAACATAGATTTGTCCCAATAATCGCTCAATCTACACACAATAATTTTTCACTATCTTAATAAAATCAAATAAAAATTTCCCAATGTTTTCGTCCTCAAGTGGTAATACCCCCTACGGATTTTTCAGTTGTTTGATAGGATAACATCCAAATCACACTCCTTCCAAAGCAACTTCTATTGGGTTTTGAAAATTTCTTCGCATTTCATCTTGCACTATACATTACAAAAACGCCCAATAAATTTCAGGGTCACACCTCGTACGCTGCTGAAGAATGTCAGTCGGTGTTGGATAATGTGGAGGTTATCAGTGGAAAAAAAAGATAAACTCTCGGGGGAATTTTCAATAGTTGATAGTTTCAAAATCTCCAAATTTCTTCCAAAATCAATCAGTGCCTAATTTTAATTAAAACCTTTCAAAATGATTTGCCATTTAACAATAAAATAATTGCGTTCTAATCGAACCTCATCGGTTCAGTTTTTTATTCGTCGACTATGTGTTCCCTTCACTGTTATTTAAAAAACAATTTCAGCAACAATCTCGCCGATGTGGTAAGTAAATAATGTTCTCCTAATTACTATTAGTCGCTATTTTAATAATTGTTTCCAGCTCCAGACGATGAAGAAAAAATTCTTCAAAAGCTTGAGATTTTAAGTTATAAGAGTCTACTTTTGCAATAATTTGCCTTCTACCCAAAGAAATTGAAGGATATATATATTACAGTTCTACAAGGCCTTAAAGGCCCATGATTTACAAACCGAAATCGTCTTTTTTTATCTTAGTCTCTTTACTCAGACTCCATTCTGTAAACCACCCTTCTTCATGCATTTCGGTTCGCAGCCTTTTCTCTCCATGCAGTTACTCCTAACATCCCTAAATCCTCACTAACACTATGCATCCATTTCTTTCTAGCCTTCCCCTTTTTTTATTTCCTTTCGTTCCTTCTGGCCGTGCTTTTCTGGCATGTCTATTGTCCTTCAGGCGAGATACGTGCCCCCCCCCCACACCTCTAATTTAACCTGTTTTTTGCGTCACTATCCAGGAATTACATCCGTACATAACCGTAGGCTTAACTACCGATCTATATAGCCGTGTTTTTGCTGCTCTTGATACATTTTTCGCTTTGAATATTTTATTTAGAGCTCTCACCGATTTGCTTCCTTTCATCGGTCTTCTTTCAATTTCATCACACTTACTTCTAACTACCACACCCAGGTAATCAAATTCACTCACGTTCTCAAAAAGAACTTCTCCCTCTTGTGCTTGTGTATCCAGCTTAATGTAATGTTCTTTTAGCCACTGGTTTTCTTGGTTCTCCATATATTTCTCTTAAGACAGCTTCTAAAACCAAGTTGAATAGAATTGTAGATAACGGATCTCCCTGTTTCAAACCCTTTCTTATTTTTAATGCTTCTTGAGAGCCTACCTTCCACGCATATTTTGATCGATATTTCCTCCAAAGTGAATTTTACCAATCTAATAACTGTCCTCGGCATTTTAAGATTGGCCATAGCCTCCTGTGTTTGTCCCTCAAAATAGTGTCATATGCTTGCTTGAAATCGATGAAAAGCATGCATAGTTTCAATTTCTGTTCTTGAATTTTATTTTGAATCATCATTAAAGTAAATATTTGATCTGATGTGCCATGTGCCTCGCCCCTCTCTAAAACCACCTTGGCATTACCCCACTTCTTTATCATGGAACCACTTCATCCTGTTTCTTATTATTCTAGCAAGCACCTTATATGCTACATCCAATAAGGTAACTCCTCTATAATTTTTGCATAGCGTGCGATCTCCGCTTTTATACAGGGTGTTAGGGACATAATATTCGTAACTTTAAGAGGTGATTCCTTGCATTATTCTAAACAAAAAGTTCATTAAAACCTATGTCCGAACATCAACCGTTTCGGAGCAAACAATGCTGAACTTATTTCTTTTCAGTCATGAAATAAATTAATTTTGCACCTTAATAATTTAAGTTCATATGCCTAATAGCGTAAAATGTATCAATACATCTATTTATTAATTAACTGTCTCTAACAAAATAATTTTCTTACTTATTAAATACAATTTTCCGAAGAAAAACAAACAAAATCCATCACACAACTGGCAACGTCGTACTCCGCCTGCACTACATGTATCATCGCGTGCTGTTGTGATTACTAATACATTTAACTGTAACTTTATGTGATTTACGGATGTTGGTTTTTTCTTTTTTCGTGCATCGCATCGTTTCAAATAAGTGACTGATAATCGTGGGAATTGGTGTGTATCGCCACGTACCGACCGGTAAGTTCTGTCATTTTTTTTCAAGTAAATGTACTGTACCGAAAGCGTTATTAAATAAAAAATATTAGCCACACAAAATTGCGTAAAAGTATTCAATAATTCAAACGTAAACAATTCGACGAATCAGTTGCGGTCGTCGTGCGCTCGAATCACGGTTGCGTTGCAGCGTTGCCAAATGTTTGAGAAAAATTGATTATTTACGACTCACTTTCCTCGAAAACGATTGATTTTTGGACATAAGTTATAATGGACTTTTTTGCTTAGAATAATGCAAGGAATCACTTCTTAAAGTTACGAATATTATTTCCCTAACACCCTGTATATGAGGCAAATAATGGCCCTGGACCAATCCCCAGGAAATATTTCTCAATTATATTACTTATTCTTTTTTGCAATTCTTCTCCTGCTTTTTTAAGTATGCCCGCAGTTATTCCATTTTCTCCTCCACTTCTATTATTCTTCATCTTCATTATTTCGCTCACTATTTCATATTTCGTAGGTGGATCTATTGTTGTATCTTGTGCATCTTTCGGATCCCAACTGTCCCCACTTTTGCTTTGAGAGTGGTTGTTATTCAGCAATTCGTCAAAATACTCTGCCCATCTTTCCAGTGGTTCTTGTTGATTATTCAGTAGATGGTCTTCCTTTTTTCTGCAGTAGTTTCTAACTCTACTTACTTTCCTTTGGGATCTTTTGGCCTCCTTATTGACAAAGTGATCTTCAATTTTTTCAAGGTGGCTGTCCATGCACTTTCTCTTTTCCCGCCTGCATTTCCTTTTTGCTTCCTTTCTTCTTTCTTTGTAGCTACTTCGATTGTCTAGCTAGACTATTATCTTCCAAACTTCGGAGTCTCGTAGCATTTCTTTTTTCCAGTGCTATAAACATTGCTTATTAAACCACTCCCACGTTTTTTGTTTCCCTAAGCAACCTTAGTTATTTTAAAATTAAATTAAAAATACAGGACATTCAATAGAACATTTGGAAACCTGACCGCAAATTAACCAAAATTACAATCAAATGACAAATCGTGAGTTATGACGTCACTGCGCGCCAAAAATACATCGTGATTAGTATTGACGTTTCAAATTAAAAAAAATAATTAATAAAAATATGTTATAAGGTATAACATTAACGTGAATAATCGACAGAAAATGGCACACAGTCCCTATTGTCTAACGTCAACTTTTCGAGTGCAGATCATCGTTGTAAACCCGGTCTTCCTTATTTATTCCTTACCTATATTGCCCCGATCGTCAGAAATTTGTTTCAAATATTCCAATCTCTCTTGATGCACCTTTCTAAGTTCCAATAAGTTAGCTTGTTTATTTTCCTTAATAAATATTAAATTTTCTACAAGCTGCATATGCGAGTCCAGCATTCTCTCTAATTTCTCTACTTCCTCAGTCTGTGATCTCTCCAGTTCCTCGAAGTATGTAGTTTCCATCTTTATTAGTTCTTTAAGTGAAGATGCTCGAGTATTCAGTCTCTAAAAATAAAATAACCAGTGACAAGCAGATCTCATTATGATAATTCTATATATTCAATAGAAGATTTATTGACAAAAAACTAAAAGACTATTTACCGGCTTCTTCTTTGCACTGTTGATTTCTGTGTTTTCCAATAGGTTACACATTGACGAGACTGGAGAATCTGTGGCAAATTTTGGCCTGACATTTGGTTTTTGTGTCTCGGTGAATGCGAATAATGGTTTTTGTAGCGGTCCGAAAGCGTAACCACTTTTCTTCAACAGCTGTTCTTCGCACGATTCCAAATCCAACAGTGGGGAAGCTATGGATTGTAGGGGTTCTTTCACCTGATATAGCAATCAAACAATTAGCTGGGTAGTGCATCATATAACACTAACAATCGTATAAAGGCTGTTCTGTTAGGAAATGGTATATCTGAGGATAAAAAAGTTTTAAATTCATTTTTTACTGACATTCAGAGTATCCAAGACAAGGATCCTATGCACGGGGATCTCAATACCTGTGGGAGATACAGCCTAGGTTGAATTAGGAAACAGCTGCGATCTTTGGGGCCAAATCGTTTTTATTTTTTCTGTCTTTATTTTAAGGAATATGAAAAAACTAACTTTATTGGTTTTTTAAATTTTGAGCCCGACGTTTCGTTTTTGAGAAACCTACATCAACTTTATTTTTTATATGGCCCGCAAAAAGTACACCTTGTATCTGATAGCATCTTTTTCCACGGATTCAACTATGTATCACATGTTACATTTGTTTTGTTAGTTATAAAGAAAATGCTTTTTTATTTTTTTAAGTAGGTATTGCAAACAAATGTGATTACTGATAGATTCATAGACGCACACTAAAACACACCTAAAACGTTCTTGATGTCTGGATACTTTTTTAGCCCGCAGATTTTCTTGAGCCCAGTAATGAGTGTTGCGACGATTAAAGATACCATTATTAGTGACCATACTTTCGTCGGACCATATTATTTTTGAAGTGAAATTAAAATTTTCTTCATACATTCGTGGATAGAACTATCAAAAATGCTGGCGCCATTCGCTATCCCCTGGTCTAAGTCCTTGGCAAATCCTGAATTTATGGGGGTGATATCTATTTTTACGCAAAATAAATTGGGCTGAGGATTTGGGTACTCCCACATTTTTCAATTTGCTTAGTTAATATCTCAGAGTTCTCAGCAATTGCTTGTAAAGCACTATTATGAGGTTCCTCTAAAGATTCATTTTTTCGAAACGTAACAGGCTTTTTCGAGCCATCTCTAAGAAAACGGACTTACTTGGCTGCCTTCTTTCGCGAAATTTATACAGGGTGTTTCAGTTTATTATTGCATAACTTTAAGATTCGATAGAACTTTTAAAATTAATGCATAAAGTCTATATAAACATGGGTCGAAAAATGCGTGGGTTCCGAAATACATGGTGTTTAAATTTACTTTCTAAAATAGTTTTTTTTAAATATTTCGAACAATATTTGATGTATAACAATGAAAATTGGTATACAAGGGTTTTTTGGTACGACAAAACGAACCATGGGCATAGTTTTACTCTAGCCGATAGTGGGCGCTCTCTACTGTACCTGTAGTGAATTAAAATGACCGAAAATTTTGTCTTAGTGCAATTTTTTGCTTTTTGAATAAAAAAACTGATTCTTCGCACTTTTCAACATAAAAAAGCTCTCTTGTGAATTTTCGTTAGTTAGCCGTTTTTGAGATATTTCGATTTTGAAGGTTCGATGCATTTTTAATTATTATTTATTATAAAATAACGTTAAAAAGTCAGTATCTCGATAATTTTTAGAAGTAGGCTGTGCCTGCAAATATTTTTGAAATTGAAAGCAGAATAAGGTTAAACGTCAATTAGTTGACAGTTAGTTTTGTTGTCTGTTGAAACCTGAAACGTTTTTTTGCAATTGTGAATGCACGAAATTTAGTTTCTTTTACCTGTTTTTTTTTTTTTGTAAGTTTTACAAAAATGCCATTTTTATTCTCCAATCAAGAGTTAGCGGATATTCATTTTGTGTATGGCTTTGTAAATGGAAACGCAGCAGAAGCAGCCAGAGAATACGCACGAAGATTTTCAAACAGACGACATCCAACTCGCTCAGTATTTGTAAGAGTGCATCGCCAAATAATTGAAAATGGTTTTGGACATCTCCAAAGGGATCAAAACACAAATGTTCGTCAGCGCAGATTTACCCGTATGATTCTGGGTGAGTTTGATAGAGATCCGCCCACAAGTGTTAGGAGAGTTTCTGGTGCCTTGGGAATTTCAGCAAGCCATGTTCACCGTATTCTTAGAAATGACCATAGACGTCCTTAATTTGCAATCTGTGCAAGGACTACAGCCAGGGGACGGAGAACGAAGAATCACATTTTGTCAGTGGATTCTTGATAGAACTGATAATAATAGGGAGTTTTTAAGTAAGGTTTTATGGACCAATGAGTCATACTTCACTAGACGTGGAGTGGTAAATTTTCATAATCAACATATTTGGTCGCATGAAAATCCGCATGTAGTTCGGGAAAGAAATTTTCAGCATGAATTTAGTGTGTACATGTGGATTGGTATCTACCGTAATCGACTATTTGGACCCTACCTTTTGCCTGCAAGGTTAAATGCTGCGACCTTCTTGGAATTTTTAAAGGCTGAACATGCAAATATGTTGGATGATGTTATGTTAGATTTAAGAAGATTGGCCTGGTTCCAGCTTGATGGTTGTCTAGCTCATTATTCGAGAATAGTTAGAAACTGGCTGGACGAAAATTATCCAGAAAGATGGATCGGCCGTGGAGGACCAGTCGCCTGGCCTCCCCGATCCCCTGACCTAAATCCATTAGATTTCTTTGTGTGGGGATTACTAAAAGAAAAAGTGTACCAGACTCCCGTAACCACAAGAGATATGCTAATAGACAGAATCAGGAATGCATGTGATGAAATAAGGCCTTATTTGAATAATGCTATACCACGTTCGATCATTCGTAGATGTGAATTGTGTATTGAACAATTGGGTTTACATTTCGAGCAACTCCTTTAGAGTTCGTACGTTTGTCCTAACTATAATATAGCATTTTAGTTGTAAATAATTAATTTAATTTGTTAAAAATAATATTGGAAAGTTAAATAAATTAATATTCTGTTTTTTTGTGTTAGGAATTATTGCTGTGTTTAAAAACACAATCTAAATGATCATCTTAATTACTTGTAATGCCCAAATCGAAAATGTAAAAAAAAAATATTATTTTCCCATAAATAATTAAAAATGAATCGAACCTTTAAAATCGAAATATCTCAAAAACGGCTAACTATAACGAAAACTCACAGGATAGCTTTTTTATGTTGAAAAGTGCGAAGAATTAGTTTTTTCTTTCAAAAAGCAAAAAATTGCACTAAGAAAAATTTTTCGGTCATTTTAATACACTACAGGTACAGTAGAGAGCGCCATCTAGCGGCTACAGTAAAACTACGCCCATGGTTAGTTTTGTCGTACCATAAAACCCTTGTATACCAATGTTCACAATGTTCACAAATATTGTTCGAAATATTTAAAAAAAACTATTTTAGAAAGTAAATTTAAACACCCTGTATTTCGGAAGCCACGCATTTTTCGACCCATGTTTATATAGACTTTATGCATTAATTTTAAAAGTTCTATCGAATCTTAAAGTTATGCAACAATAAACTGAAACACCCTGTATATGGTACAGTAGTTCTTAGTATTTTTGTAGCACAAAATGCATGTCGAACTTTTTTTCATTGCTAAAATGACCGCCTTGCATCTTTGACGATAATAAAGCCGTATGACAGAATATAACAATACTAGGTGTCAGGTATTTATGTATTGCAACCCTTATTTAAAGAATAAAAAAATCAGAAAAACGCAGTTTCCCTATAAATAAAAAAATAAATGCAACAGGGTGTACTTTTTTCGGGCCATATAAAAAAAATAAAGTTGATGGTTTCTCAAAAACGGACGCAAAATTTAGGGTTGTGTGAGAGCACGTAAACGTAACTATGCTGAAAATGGTGATTCCGGACCTGCATATCAAGGTTTTTATATTTTCGTTATAATCTTAAATTGGCCTGGAGAGTCAAATTCAGTGTATTTGCATACTGAATGCCGTTTCCGTTTAAATCAGGTATCACGTTGCTGAAGAACATCAGTTGGCAGAACTGAAACGTTAAAAACATTAACATAACATCAATTTCCCCTAGTGTTATATTTATATTATGTATTACTCTTTTTCTGTAAAATAATGAACCAGAGCATAACCTACAGGGCGTGGCACTTGATAAAATAATGGAAATAAAAAAACTAAATCCGATCCTGCACTCTTGAGTTCCCAAAAAATCTTTAGTTCTATTTTAAGCATGGAATGTTGGTGAAACTAATGAAATTTTGAGCTTCGTGTCACATAACAGAAAGATGGCAGAGCACTTGAGCGTTGCCTATGCAACCGTTCAAAGCACTTTGGTCAACGATTTGGGCCTCCGTCGTGTTGCAGTCCAGTTGGTGCCAAAAGACTTGAATTTCATGCAATGAAATGACCGTGTTGATATCGCCAAAGACATGATTTCCAATGCTGATTCTGGCCCAACATTTATCAAACGCATCATTACTGGAGAGAAGACGTGGGTTTATGAGTACGACATGCAGTCAAGCCATCAGGCGAAAGAATGACGCGCGCCGAATGAGCTGAGACCGATGAAACCGCGTCGTTTCCAGTCGAAAAAGAAGGTAATACTCACGATTTTCATGGATTACTACGGCCTGATGCATAGTGAATTCTGGCCAGACGATCAGACTGTCAACAGGGAGTACTACTTGGGTATTTTGAGATGTTTGCGTGAATCAATCCGTCAAAAACGCAAGCATTTGTGGACAAACAACTCGTGGATCTTGCACCACGACAACGCACCATCGCACAGTGCCATCATTATCCGTGAGTTTTTGGCCAAAAACAACTTGAATACCATTCAAAAACCCCCCAATTCACCTGATTTGGCCCCCTGTAACTTCTTCTTGTTCAATCGAAATAAAAAGCCACTGAGAGGAGCCCGTTTCAGCAGCCGAGAGGAGATAATTGAAAAATCGAAGATGGCCCTAATTGAGATACTTAACATCGAGTTTGAAAAATGTTTTGAGGACTGGATCAACCGTTGGCATTGTTGTGAATAAGTATACCAAAAGTTTACTGTAGCTGTTATATATTTAAAATTGGTCAAAGTAGCGACATCTAGTGTCATATGTCGTTACTACTGTGTTTGTCCACTATGTGCATGTCACTCTGTAATGTCAGAGTAGTTGCAATATACCATCATAAGCG